AAAAATAATAATTTTTTTAAAATTAAAAAAAAAAAAAACATAAAATGTAAAAGGAGAGAAAAAAGAATAAAAAAAAAATAAAAATAATGAAATTAAAAAAAAACCCAAAAAAAAAAAAAAAAATCATTGAAAAGATAAAAGAATAGTTTTATAATTGAAAGCTCCCAAGTTTGACCTAGTTGTGTTTTTTACAAATAAATCCAAATGAAAAGTGAAGCTGAATGGAAATAGTTTAACAGCCCTTAAAAACATAGTTTTTCGTGTAAATCCTTTATATTATGCATTTTTTAATAATTTTATCTTATATTAATATTCTAATGTCCCAGCCACTTTTACACCGCAGATTAATTTCATAAACTATTTCAGAAAAACCCAAACGAAAATATTACGGACTTAACGCACTTGCGAAATTTTAAAAAAAATTTCATTTACCTCAGGTATCGGGAACTTTTTTTCCGTGAAATCATTGTCATTTGTCATCATATTTTCTTCATCTACCCCTTAAAAAACAGATTTTGGGGCTTCTGGTTGGGGGATGGGGGCTAAAAATTTGAATGATTGTTTTGTCATCAGCAAGGAGTCTATGTGCTAAGTTTCAGTTCAAGTTGACAGGAAGTGGGTCTATTAACCATCTGAAGATTTTGTCCTGAACACGCAAATGCGAAGTTAATATAAAATATTTAAAAGTAATAAATATTTTATTTCAGCATTTCCTTTTTTTTTTTTTTTTTTTTTACACTACATTAAATACAGTGTTTTTTTTAAATGTAAAACTTTTATAATGAAATAAATTTAAAAACTTTATTAAATTCCTTTTTTTTTTTTTTAAAGCTCAAAATTGTCGATCATTTTAGAGATTTATATAATGGTTACTATAACGCCAATCATAATAAAATCAAATTTTTACTAACAAATTAATTTTGTCAAGATGATGATATACAAAAAAAAAAAATTAAACATAACAATGCAGAATAGAATTTGTTATTTTAAAAATTAAGATAGATGATCAATTTAATTTAGACTGTTTTTAAATAAATGAAACTTTCATAATGAGCATTATGTTTCTGAAGTCTTATAAGACAGGAAGCTCAGGTCTAAACTGACTGCAGCTGTTGTCTTATCTTTTTATTATATGTCAAAAATAAAGGAATGGCGTCTGTTAAGAAATTTTTTTTTTTAGACAGCCCAAAGGGTGGGATAGACAACAAATGCCTAGTACTTGAAACAGTGAAAGAAAGACAATACAAATTGCACTTCCACAAAAATTACTTCTGTTGCAACAGCCAGCCCCAGTCACTTATTTCAATTAAAACCCTGCTGGTTGGCTGTGTCTTTGAAACTGATAGGAACACATTGTGAGTCACACTTAAAAAAAAAAATAACACGGCGAGCGCAAAATAAAATGGATGGTTTGTAACTTGACTAGTTGTGTTTTTTTAAAAATTAACAAGCATAGGTAATCGTTTAGACAAATGTTTATCATGTAGGAGTGGTTGAACTACTTTGAGTTTGAGCTTATCATTTTTTTTACATGAGATATCATAAATTAATTAATATTGATAGGAATCTAATACCGTTATACAAAGTTTTTTCTTTAAAGCAAATATTATATTTGGCAGGTGGGTTTTACAGCAGCAAAAAAAAAAAAACAAGGTTTCAAAACAAAGTAGGCAAATGAAGTTAGTCGCAATGAGAATTAAAACATGTCATAAAAATAATTTATCAGCGACGTTTTGCATGAAAATACATGTTATCACATTACTGCTGATAAAGTTAAGAACTGTTTACTTACTGTTGCAAGCAGCAATGTGAAAAAGATTGACATGAATATTTTCTATATAGATCAGGATGATAAATAAAATATGAAACTATATCACATTAGTAATCGTAACAATAGATAAATATTAATTGTCTAATAATGTTTTAAAGTTAAGCGAGAAAAATCTCCTATTGTAATACTGCACACACATGTCACTGACAAGGTTCACTAACAACATCAAATTCTGGGAAATAGGGTCATTAGATCGAGGGGGTCATTGATATAGTTATAAAGGTGGTGGATTTCCCAGTGTTGGCCACTTCTTAACATACAGGTGGTGATAACATAAACATAAATTTGTTACTGATGTATTGCTTTCTTCTGGTTTCGTAACACACAATTAGCCACATCTCCTCTTTCCAAAATTTTGATATCCCTCGCAAACGTGGAGTCCCCCATGACACTGGTAAGTGTGCAAGTGGCTAAGTTTGGTATGGTTGAATAACTGAAGTTTAGACATTTACAAATAAGAATCCATTGCAGTGATGATAATGGTTTTTGTTCAACTTTCTTCTATGTTGTCATTATTAGTTATTAGTATTAGATTTCATGTATTGTTTTCAAGCCATTGCATCAAGTGGGCCAGATTTAAAGGCTGTTTTTCACATGTGGAGGGAGACCATCAAGTTAAGAATAGCAGAGATAACAGTCGATTGCCATTTGTAATCATCCAGTTTAACTAAGTTCTACTTAAACTTGAGGTAAAGCAATGGTAACTTTGTAACTACAAAGTTACTTGGCATGAAATGATAGAAGGGGATGAAAAGTTATAATGAGCTGCTGTGACAAATTAAAATTTTGTCAAATGATGTTCACCAAGATAATTGTGGATTGGATTGATGATATTATAATTTTATTTTAACTAATTTTAAGTTTAGATTCAGGTCTAAACCAAACCTTCCTCCATCATTTTGACATCAGAAATGCTAATACCAGTGGTAGCGAAAATTATTTGTTTCAGATAGGAAAAATATTTATTAATCTTTTACATTTCACAATTTTTTTTTCAATCCTAAATACATTTCTGAAGACTAAAAAGTTATTATTGACATAAAACTAGAAGAAAAAAAAACAACAATAACAATGTCTTTAAAATTTCTTATGATAAAACAGGAACAAAAAAGTATTCATTCCACATTAAGTGCCAGTACAAGTCTGAGAATAGATTTTAAACAAATACAAATAGCCAGCAGATGCAGAACACTTTAAATTTAATAAATGATATGTTCAGAATGTTACATGGGGTACAACCCTGTTGAAAGAACTACAACCCTGTTGAAAGAACTACAACCCTGTTGAAAGAACTACAACACTGTTGAAAGAACTACAACACTGTTGAAAGTAAGTTCTTGAAACTTGTACATTTAATTAAGTGTAAAAATGAAAACAGACTTAGAGTTCATATATATATGTTTATAAAACATCAAGAGATGAAAAATCCCTTTACACTGGATCTTGTTTAACACTAGGAAAAAAGATCAGCAGTCTGGTAATGGAACAATGGTGTTCTCTTTCATAACTGCACAACTAAAAACAAAATTAATTAACAAAGGCATATACTAGCAGCATTAGCAAACAAATTTATGGCCATGAATATAAAAAAAAAATAAATTGTACAAATTCAATCATAAATAATATAACACTGAAGTTTTCATCTCCAGCACTTACCTTGTAAATGACCCAAGATTTTTTTTAACAAAGACTTTATAAGTAATTTCATGATGGTTTGTTTAAAAAATAATATTTTTTTTAAACTTATAAAAAAGAACAACTTATAATGTAATAGGAGAGAGATAGGAATAATGTACGATTAAAATTATTGCACTTGAAATGATACCCAAAAAAAAAAAAAAAAAAATCATTAAAAAAATAAAAGAATAGTTTTATAATT